CTTAATAAATTTACTTTCACTTTACTCTATAGACTCACCCTGAATTCTTTCTTGCATGAGATCCAAGAACCATCTCTTGGGGTCTGGATTCAGACCCCTTTCCTGTAGCAGTGTGATTATCTGCCATCTGTATAGCCTTGTCAGTGAAGTATCTGTTCATGTTTTTTGGCTTATTTTTAAATTAGCTTCTTTCCTTTTCACTGTTGAGTTTTGAGGGTTCTTTATGTATTCTAGATACTAGTCCTTTGTCAGATAAATGGTTTGCAACAATTTTCTCCTAATCTGGAGCTTATCTTTTAGTCCTTTTCATAGAGTTTTTGCAGAACAAAAGTTTTTAATTTTGATGAGGTCTAACCTGTCAATTTCATCCCCTTTCCTTCTAAAAGCCTAACTGTGAGCATGACTCAATAATGAAGACTCATGCTCCATTAAAAAATACATTTTCTGAGGACCTGCTAAGGACTACAGATTTGTTTGGGGTGAGTGATACTATGGTGAGAAAAATGCATAGTTCTTGCCCGTATGAAGTTAGACAATAGTAAAATTATAATTTCCCAAGTAATTACATATTTGCAGGAATGGAACATGCTCTCAAGGAAAAAAGTGGGGTTTTTTAGAGGCTGTAGTAGAGTCTGAAAAGGTCTGCTTTCCTGAAGGATCATTGTTTATGTAGAATGAAAAGAATGAGGCAGAGTTGGTCAAATAGAGAAAGAGTGGTGGGCACAAGGCTACCAGTGGAGAAGGGAGGGGCGGGCATGCTTAAGGAGTGGAAAGGCCAGGGAAGGGGAGGCCTGGGCTATCATGGCTGTGGGGAGGCACAGAGCAAGCAGGCAGGTTCTGTAGGCTTTGGTGGGACTTTGGGCATTTTCCTGGGAACCTTAGGCGCCAAAGAAAAGTTTCATTGGATGAAGGGTCTTGTGAACACTTTATTCAACTTTGCAAAGGAGAATGTAAAATTCTTTGTTACGTAGAAATCTCAGCTCTGTATTGATATGAATAAGACATTAGACACTTAGATTAATTGTTGACTTATTAATTTTTTTTTGAGAGGCAAGGTCTCACTCTGTAGCCCAGACTGGAGTGCAGTGGTGCTATCATAGCTCTGCAGCCTTGAACTCCTGGGCTCAGGTGATCCTCCTGCCTCAGCTTCCCAAGTAGCCAGGATTACAGGTGTGTGCCACCACACCTGGCTAATTTTTAAATTTTTTGTAGAGATGGGGTCTTGTTACGTTGCCCAGGCTGAAGTGCTGTGGAACAATTGTAGCTCACTGCAGCCTCCAACTCCTGGGCTTAAGCGTTTCTCCCACCTCGGCCTTCCAAAGTGCTGGGATTACAGGCATGAAGCACTGTGCCTGGACAGTTGTTGACTTATTTACAGATTCTGAGATCTAGGATACTCCTCACTTAAAAAAAATTATTTTCAAAACTTCCACTTTACAGCTAGGATATGCAACATTTGCTTAGTTTCAGAAATGGGTTAAATTATGAAGGTGATAAAAATGCCTCCAGGAAAAGAAAAAAGCCACGAAGGCACGATCTGCTATGGTAAGTTAGACAATGTCAAGAACTGCCAGAGGCCCGAGGTGTAGCTGGCATGCACATCAGGGATCAGACCACTTCTGTTTGTTACTCTCTAAAGCTAGCAAGCTTTGCATACAAGGGTATGCAATAATGGGCATGGGCTGGGAGGTGGGGGCGTGGGAGAGGTGACAGGCTGTGGCTGGCTGATTGGCATGGATGTGGCTTGGAAGTGTGCATAATTACTTCCATATGTCATAAAGCCAGGTCTTTTTGGGGTTGCCTTCACAAATTTGTTTCCATGTTTAGGGACCATATCTGAGTACTCCGGACTGTGCAAAATTCTGGAAACGCCTACTCCTCAGGAAATTGAATGCCTTCACCCGTCTAGGGTTGTCAGGTGAATAGCAGTCTCAGGGCTGTGATGAGACAGAGAACTAGAGAAAAGAATAAGAAAAATGGGACTTTCAAATCAGACTGTGCTTGGAATTCTCATGTGTAATGCCCACGGGACACACACGAACTGCAGGGGTGCTGGCGCTTAGCCACGGCCTGTGACCTGACCCATGACGGGTGTGGAGGTGTCCTGACGGTGCAGAGGGTGTTTTAGACCTGAACTGTGTCCCAGAGAGGTGTGTTGGAAAGTGGAGTGTAGTAGTTTTCGGATGCGTCCTGTCCCACCCCAGGATGTCCCCAGGGCTGTGAGAGGCTGTTCCCGTCTTAGCTTCTCAGCACCCTCACCCGTTTCGGAAGCACTCCCCACAACTCTCCACCACCCCCGTACAGGAGAAGGGTGTTTGGAACGTGCGTGAGTTCCTTCGAGGCTGTGCACCCACCACATTGGCTCTTTGTGGGTGGGGTGGGGGGAGGTAGGGAATAGGCCAGTTGTAACACCAGCTGTCAGCACACCAACTGCTTAATTTGAAAATCATGCCACAGACAGAATTAAAAACGCCACACTTGAGTTAAAGTGAGCTAAGGGAACAAAGAGAAGAATTTCCGACACAGAGCAGAGTGACAAATGTGTAGGAGGCTCTGAGGGGCCTGGGAGCTCTAGGAGAGGGTCTCTCTCAGCAATGCCCGGGAGACCCATTGGATTTTTGGTGATTAAACAGATAACTCTTCACCAACTGCCTGCCCCCATCTGAGAGTAACCAGGATCTGTGGGTGTATTAGACTCATCTCCCTCGCTGGTCTGTGACGTGAAATTTGGCAAATTGTTGACTCTGGGATGCTGCAAATCCACCTTTATTTTAACAGCATAGATGATCCGATCTGAGAGGCAGGAAGGAGAAGAATGCTAATGTCCTCTCTGCTCACCTTCCCGGAGGAGGGGCTGTTCTGTTTCCTCCCCATCTCTAGGACTCGGCCTCTCCAAATGGTTAGGATGTTTGGCACGCAGCTCCGAGCGGAGCAGCCTGGAAAGCGCTTAGAGATTCCACTTCACTGTTATATATGTTTTTAAAAGTAGACACAGCTTCAGATGAAATGCAAAACAGCAGCTCTGGGTGGCGGTGGCCCCTTGCCCGTCGCGATGTGTGGAACGTGTCTGAAAGCCTAATGGCAAAGGAGGCTTTGCTTCTCGGTCGAGTTTGCGAATTGCCTTTGGTTGGCTAGGTGGGAGGGGATGGGCCAAAGGCCGTGGGACGACGCCTCCTTGTTCAGAACGAATTTCCCACCACTCCAGGCTCCTTTGGACACCTGGTACTTCTCCTTGGGCGGGTCCCTGCCATTCTGCCATCTCAGTGGTCCTTCCATGGGCATTTGCAGGTGCCTATTCAGCCTTACCTAGGCTTGGTTCCTGGGGAGACAGGAAGCAAGACATGACCATTGGTTATTTATTTCCAGGCCTCTCCTTCCTCCTCTGCTAGGTGGACTGAGAGCATCTTCTTATTTTCTTTTATTTTCTCAGAGACAGGGTCTGGCTCTGTTGTTCAGGCTAGAGTGCCGTGGTGCAATCACAGCTCACTGCAGCCTCAGCCTCCTGGGCTTAAGCAGTAGTTCCACCACCCCAGCATCCCCAGTAGCTGGGACTGTAAGCGTAGCCCATCATGCCTGACTAATTTAAACAATTTTATTTTTTGTAGAGATGGGGGGGTGGTCTCACCATATTGCCCAGGCTGGTCTTGAACTCCTGGCCTCAAGGAATCCTCCCACCTGTGCCTTCCTAGGTACTGGGATTCCAGGCGTGAGCCCCCGCGCCAGCCTGTGAGCATCCTGAGAGCAGAGGTAGTATCTTATTTATCTCTGGATCCCCCAGGCATAAGATAGCACCTGCTACGAGTGGGCACCTGGCGAACATTGAGCTGGAAAATGGTGTTAGGAATGTGGATCTTTTCTTTCCCTCTTTGCTGCCATCTTGGGCTCAACATCCACTCCTGCAGCCAACCCGTTCTGAGCCATCTCCTCTTGCCCAGCACAGTGCCAACTGCTAAGGCAGCTGAGAGGAGCCAGCCCAGCTGCCTAGGGTGGGGGTGGGGGGCGGTGCAGTCATCCTGGGGTGTGTGTTTGGGGTATGTGTGGGGTGTCATATCTGGCTGTGCTGTGACCTTCACAACACCCTTGGCCTGCCGAGTCCCCCAGATGTGCCAGGGAAGGTAGTGGGGGAGGACGATTTAGGACCCCTGCCATCTGCAAAGGAGATAGTAGAATTACGTGTCTCATAGCCCCTTGGGGGATTCGATGCGCGTCCAGATTTACTAATCAGGAAAACCTCTAATAGGTGAGGTTTAGAGCCAAGTGCTCCGGTTTTTAACAAATAGTTTGGTTTAGGTGGAGCATTCACAGCTGGACACAAAGTCGCCGCTCCGGAAGAGCGAGCTCAGTTATACAGGCTATGGTGGACGCAACCTTCCAATACGCTGCCTGCTTAAGACTTTCAGCCAGGTATGGGTCCTCCCAGTGGTCACAAAACTCACCCTCAATTTCCCCTTTGCTTTTACCTCATCGCTGGGAAAGATGGAAAGTTGGGAGGAATGAGACGTAGTGGTGTGGGGCTGGAGGATTGAGCGCACAGGATTGTTTTTTAGGTGGCTTTCAACCCGTTCTCAGGGAAGGTCACCCCAAGACTATGTTCCAGCTTTGGTGCCTGGAGCTGCTGGCCAGGGCTGGGGGATCTGGCCCCTGAAGTCCCTTTCCTGGTCTGCTTAGCCACAAAGACACTTGGCTCATGCTCTGAGCTTTTCTGTCTTCTCTCCCCAGCCAGCAGCTTCCAGGAATTCTCACCTTCCCCAAACCACTAGGGGAAGCCCCTCCTTGCCTCATCTGACTTGATTACACCGCTCCTTCCTCTCTGAAACTCAAAACAGAGAAGTACACTGAGGAGGAAAACTTATTTTTTCTCTCTTCCCTCTGGAAGCCAGCCTTGATCCGAATGTTCCTATAGCAACATTAATTCTCCCAAGTTGCACCTACTGTATAATAAGTTATATATATAGAAGACCTACTGGGATCCAAGTACCCCATATGTGCAAGCGAATGAGTTAATGCTGCCGTGAGAATTAGCAATGTTCCGTTTCCTGATTTTTGAAGTTACAACCTGTGTTCGCTGGGGGGTCGGGGTGCAGGGTTTTAGGAGCAGGGGGTGTGGGCACTGTTCTGGCAAGCACCTGCCTTCACCGCCGTGCGAAGAGTGTCTCTGGAAAATTTCTGAGTCCCGAGATGGAAATAGACTTGGGAATGCCAGCGTCCTTCCTCGTCAGCACCGAACGATTTCTCGAGCTCGGCTCTGGCTGTCTTGGCCTCCACGGTTATCTGGAGGCCTTGGAGTGAGAGAAAGAACCGGGTAAGACTTCCAGACAGATGGGGCCCAGCCAGGCCCTGGGTCAGATGCTACTGGAGTCCTGTGGGTGGGGGCTACAGAGCTGAGCGTAGGCCAATGCTTTTGTTGCTTGTCCCTGCAGGTTGGTGGGAAAATGTAGATTGCTTGGCTCTTGGACAAGCCTGAGCCTTTTGCGGGTCACTGGGCGGTTGTTTACATTGGGTAGGATATGCAGTGTTAGTAGGAAAGTGGTAGCCAGGAAAATAGCCAAGATGGTGATGGTTGGAGTTGAGAGCCAAATCGTGGGCCAGGCGTGGTGCCCAGCACTTCCTATGCAGTGTGTTGTCTGCTCTTACAACAGGCCTGCGAAGTGACTTACTTCGGTGATTCTCTCCCATTGTACAGATGAGGAAACCAAGACTTAGAGTCAGTGGGCAGGTAGCGCAAAAGCTGGAGTCAGAGCTCTCCAGCCCGCGTTCCCAAGAACATGCTACTGTACCTGGCTCTGGCGAGTACTGACTGGGTGGCCTACAGAGCTAGTGTGACTGCTTGGCTGGGCTCTGCTGCTCTAAGCCTACTCTAACCCATGCTTCTACACTGGGGCCTTGGAGCCCATGGTTTGGCATTAACACACGGATGGCAGTGGAGGGGATGTTCTGAGGCAAGTGGGGAAATGTGCAGGGACCTGGGGGCACCTGAGCTCATTGTGTACCCAGCTGTACTCCCTTCCAGAGCCTGAGGGTGTGGCTGGCTGTTAAGTTGGAAGGGAGGGAGGTGAGAGCTGGGTTCTAAACTGCCCTTCGCTCTCAGGCCTGCCATCCCTCACCTGGCCACTGGCGTCAGGCCCGGCCTCATGGAATCCAGTGACCTGGGTCCCAGGAGGGCTACTGCAGCTTGTCCCCAGATGTGCTCAGCAGGTGGTGGCCAGAAGCAATGGCGCTGCCCCCTGGCCACCTTTTCTGAAAATGGCCTGTTGTCACTACGAGGATGGGAAGAGAGAGAGAATGGGAGGGAGGTGAGGAGTGAAAGGAGGGCCTAGGGGGTAGAATTGGGTGCAGGCCTGTTGACCAGGGAAGAGAAGGTCCAAGGAAGGGGGGATGGATGTTTCCAGGTCCCTGTGGGTGACCCTGGTCCTGGGAGTGACTGCAAGCATGCTCTGTGTGTGTGTGTGTGTGTGTGTGTGTGTGTGCAGGTGTCTGTGGGGCTTGCATGCCTGCAGGTGCACATGGCATGCCCCCTCCAGTGGGTCAGCTCCTTGTCTCTGCCCATCGTGGCCCTCAGGAGGCCTTGGCAGGGGTGGGACGCTGCAGGCCGCTGCCTGGACCTCCCCTAGGACCCAGATCACCATCAGCAGCCAGAGGGTGCTGCTCTTGACTCTCCTGCCTGCTCTCCCATGGGAGCTGAGTTTTTTTTTTTTTTTGAGACAGAGTCTTGCTCTGCCGCCCAGGCTGGAGTGCAGTGGCGTGATCTTGGCTCACTGCAAGCTCCGCCTCCCGGGTTCACGCCATTCTCCTGCCTCAGCCTCCCGAGTAGCTGGGACTACAGGCGCCCGCCACCTCGCCCGGCTAGTTTTTTTTTTTTGTATTTTTTAGTAGAGACGGGGTTTCACTGTGTCAGCCAGGATGGTCTCGATCTCCTGACCTCGTGATCCGCCCGTCTCGGCCTCCCAAAGTGCTGGGATTACAGGCTTGAGCCACCGCGCCCGGCCGGGAGCTGAGTTTTAAAACTCCCAATAATTACCTGAAAGCCAGAGAGCAAAGAGTCCAACGCATTTCTGGCATTTCTGGTCATTCCTTCCTTCGTGCATTTAATGAGAGGCCTTTTCCCACTCCGCCCACAGTCATCAGATACCCTGAAGGGGTATAAAACTCAATAGACACTCACAGAGATAAAAGCCCCTCTAAAAGTTCCTCGTTCTAAACCTTCTTTTATAGCCCCGTGTGGAAGTGTTCCTGGAAGGCTACTTAGGGAAATGAAATGGTCCATTTGTCCCCTTGTAAAGCCAAGCTGAGCCCCAGGAGTTCTTATGCTCCCACCCATGCCTCTGGCCCTCCCGCCCTGCACCACAGGGCCCAGCACTGCAGTGGCGTAAGTGACCGGGAGGTGGGTGTCCCTGGGTGCACGGGTGGTGTGGGGAGGTATGGTGGGCTGCTCTGGGGAGGCTGTGGAGCCAGGCTGGCCACCTGCAGGAATTCACAGTCACTGAGGGGCCAGTACCCAGCATTGCTCTGTGCCTGGGCAGACAGTGGAAAGTACACCACAAAGTACCAACCCAGTGCAGATGCATGCACGAATTAGTTTGTTTTGTGCTGCTAAAAAGGAATACCTCAGATTCTGCAGGCTTTACAAGAAGCATGGGGCCTGATCTGCATCTGGTGAGGACCTCACGAAGCTTCCAATCACGGTGGAGGGTGAAGGCAGATCAGGCCAATGTCACGTGGCAGGAGAGGGAGCCAGAGAGAGAGGAGGAGGAGGCGCCTTTAAACAACCAGCTCTCGCGTGAACTAACAGAGTGAGAACTCACTCATGACCGTGGGAAAGGCACTAAGCCATCATAAGGGATCTACCCCCATGACCGAAACACCTCCCTCTGCCCACCTCCAACATTGGAAGTCACATCTCAACATGAGATTTGGAGGGGACAGATATCCAAACTATGTCAATGGGGGTTGCCCCGGGTCCTTCCTACTGACGTCGGCACTGAGGGAGGCCCAGGTAACCAGCTCCCTGTGCTGATCCATGTCATGTCCACCTCTAATGTTGGGGTGCGAGTCCGAGGGGGCAGAACGGTGGCTGGGGTCGGGGGTGATGCTCAGCGTTTGCCCACCTTCTTTAGACCAACTGGGCAGGATCTGCCTGGTGGAAGGGACAGCACAGTGGAACACAGGGAAGTTCACGTCAGTTCTCGACTTTTGGGCTCCAAAGGTGTATGAGTCTGCTAGGGCGGCCGAACAAATGACCACAGATGGGGCGGCTTAAACAACAGCAGTGTGCTTCCTGGCAGCTCTGCAGGCTAGACGCCCCAGGTCAAGGTGTTGGGGGGTTAGTTTCTTCCGCGGCCTCCCTCCTCGGCTTGTAGGAGGCTGTCTTCTCCTTGTGTCTTCACGTGGTCTCCCTCAGTGTGTCTGTGTCCTGATCTCTTCTTTTCAGAACACCTGGCAAGGCCAGGTGTGATGGCTTACCCCTGTAATCCCAGCACTTTGGAATGCTGAGGTGGGTGGATCTCTTGAATACCCCTCCAGGGCATTGGGCCTCCACACTGCAAATGCCACCCACCAGGGCAATGAACCCCCACGCTGTAGATGCCACTCTCCCAGGCACTGAACCTCCACCCTTCAAATGCCACCCTCCAGCGCATTGGGCCCCCACACTGCAGATGCCACCCTCCAGGATATTGAGTCTTCACCCTGCAGATGCCACCCTCCAGGGCATTGGGTTTCCACCCTGTAGATGCCACCTTCCAGGGTATTGATCGTCCACCCTGCAGATGCCACCTTCCAGGGCACTGGGCCTCCACCCTGCAGATGCCACCCTCAAGGGCATTAAGCCTCCACCTGCAGATACCATCCTCCAGGGTGCTGGGCCCCCACTCTGCAGATGCCACCCTCCAGAGCACTGAACCTCCACCCTGCAGATACCACCTTTTGGGGTACTGAACCTCCACTCTGCAGAAGCCACCCTCCAGGGCATTGGGGCCTCACACTGCAAATGCCACCCTCAACGGCACTGAGTCCCCACCTTGCAGATGCCACCCCCCAGGGTACTAGGCCTCCACTCTGCGGTCTGTCTTGATAACCAAGAAGGAGAGGGTAAGAAATGGTAATATTAATCCACCAATGCCTTGGCTTTGGGGAGAGATTTTCACACCAGCTCCAAATAGACCTACGTGCTCTCTCCTTATGATGAGAATCTGGGGGAATGGGTGGAATTTCATCAGGTGTGTATGAATAGGGAGTAGAGGTAGAGTTCCTGGCAGGTAGAAAGGCTTGGAGGTGAGAAACTCCCACTCCACCAAAATGCTCCAGGAGAAGTGCTCTCCCAACCGTATCACTGGGCGGAGAAAATTTCAGTGTAAGTCTGGTTTTGAGTAAGGAGGTTCAGCTGGCTCCCAGAAATGGGGTCTCAGCCATGCTGGAACAATGGGGATGAGTGAGAAAGCTCCCTCTGTGCTCTTAATGCCCTTCCTTTGCTCTAATCTGCTTTTCTCTTCTCCTTCCACCCTCTTGCACTTTCCAACCTCTTGCACTTCCCACCTCCTGTCTTTACACAGCACCCCTCCCAGTGTGTAGTGGGCATTCGTGAGTTAATGGCTACTTCTTTAGGCCGACTCATTCCCTCCCAGTGAGACCCAGCCTCCTGGAGGCCCAGTGGCTCAGCCCCTTCATCCTCAAGCTTGATTCATGTAGCTTATCTAGAGAAAAAAAAAAAAAAAGACTGATCTTAGTCTTACCTGTAATCCCAGTGTTTTGGGAGGCCAAGGCTGGAAGATTGCTTGAGGCCAGGAGTTTCAGACTAGCCTGGGCCACATAGCAAGACCCCTCCCCTCCACTGCAAAAAATTCGCCAGGCATGGTGGTGCACGCCTATGGTCCCAGCTACTTGGAAGGCTGAGGTGGGAGGACTGCTTAAGTCTAGAAGGTTGGGGCTGCAGTGAGCTATGGTCACACCACTGCACTCCAGCCTGGGCAACAGAATGAGATACAGTGTCTGAAAAAACAACAAACAAACAAGCAAACACTATTTGTAGACCTTCAATAATAACTTGAATTATTTTGTTGTAATATACATGATTCTGAAACAACATCAACATTCAGTAACAATTACTAAGTTCTTCCTATGTACCTAGCAGGGAGCTGAACATTATTCATTTCATCCTCATCACTCCTCAATAGAAATGAGAGTAACAGTCCTGACTACAGATCTTACCAAAGTAGATAAAAACTCCTTATATTTACAGCTTTTATAAAACTACAAAACCAAGCCACGCTTACAAATTAAAAACAAAAATGTTACGAAACCAGCACC